CTCTATGCTCCGATGATAGACTCGGGGCTGAGGTAATTATTTATGTAATGCTATAATAGGCTCAAGTATCTGTGACTCGCTTTAACATCAACATTCAAGTGCAAATGACAATACTAGAGTTAAGCAGAAAGACATGTCTGATGTCTCTAGAAGGCGAAAAGTAACAGGAAATGCTATACACAGAATTTGAGTATTAAGTTCAAAAGATGGCTGAATGTTTCAATAATATGTCTTGAAGCATTAAGTTCAAAATATGGCTGAATATTTCTGTAATGCTATGATAGGCTCAAGTATTTGTGTTGCCTTCTAACCTTTGTAGAGCCCTTCTCTCTCTCTTTTCTACTTACTCTCTTCTGAATTTTCATTTGATTTTGAACAGGTGAATGCACATAATCTTGCACAGGAGAATGGTAAATGATTTCCTTCCTCTTGGAAACTTAGATAAAGTTGTAAAAGAAATTGTTGATCAGCCACTTCCACTTGTTGATGGGATTGAAGATCAACTTGTGGAGTTTTCGATAGCCATGAGAAGTATGATTGCTTTCATTCAGGTGAAATAAAAGTAGGATGCTTTTGTTAATAATAAGGTTTGTGTCTGATCCTTGTGGTTTATGTCACTCATAAGCAGTTGGCAAGGTTTTAAGAGGATCAGTAGAAGCTAAAGCTGCTGCTCAAGCTGAGGCTATAGAATGGAAACACAAATATGAATTGGAAAGAGAAAATAATCTGCAATTGGAACAAAAATATGAACAAAAGTTGACAAAATTTTCAATTTTGATCTAAAAATGGGAAAATTAGAAAGCTCAGGGACCATTTTTTTATAATTTACCCGAAAACATATTATTATGTGCATTTTATTGAATCTTGAAATTTGATTTGTATGTCATGACATCTTATATCATTGTGCAAAAGCTTTACTAGTATCTTATTTGGAAATCTTATAAGATCATAAGAATATTATTATGTGCATCTTATTGAATTTTACATTTGCTCTATATATCATGACATCTTACCATTATGGCAAAGCTTTACTAGCATCTTATTTTGAACATCTGTAGTTTTTGACTTACTATTTTCTTAGTAATTGAAGTATATATCCACAAAACCATTTTTTTCTTTCATTTTAGGTCCAACATTTGCTAAGAATCTTGGAAACTTTGAGCAAAAAGTAGGAGGCTCAGGATCCATGAAACACTATCCAATTGAGCTTGAAAATGGTGAAAAATCTCAGAGGTGTTGTGGAGAAAATGGGATTTTCTCTCATGTGAGTTTTTTATAAATGTTCAAGTATTGATATTGGTCCAATTTATAAAGTCATACTTAATCTTCTTCTGATGCTTACTATAAGGTCATTTTAGTCATTTCATCAGTTTTATGTCTCATTAGTTACCTACCTAACTTAGGCACTTAACTTATCTAATGATGCCATAATCAGTATGATGCATTAATTGAGATAAACGAGGTCTGTATGGTGAAGTAAGTAGTAAATGAAAAAAGTTGTTCCTTTTTTGCTCTGAATGAACTGTAAATGACCATTTTACCCCTTTAACATAGATGCATAAATTTCATGCTTACATATTGCGATTTGTTGGTTTATGTGAATCTAATGGTTGCATTATTCAAATTTGTAGGTCTTGTTGATGTGAATAGTGTCAAGCAAAGTAGCTCGAGATGTTGTGAAGGCGGGCAACAAGTTTTTTTAGTTTAACTGTTATTTGTTGAAGACTTTCATCTCTTTCACATTTGATGTATTACATTTGTCTACTATTAGAATGATTATTTGTATGACATTAACTTTTGTGCAATGGATTGTATTTTTTGTATATGATATTTTATTTTCTATTATGAGATATGAAATGTAAATTTAATTTGAGAATTAGTAAATCTATAAATATATATTTTTTTAAATTTACAATTACGATACGCAAAAATGTGTGTCATCTTTATTTATAACATGGCCTTTCTTGACAGCGGCTTTAATGATACGCATTGCGTGCCATTAACATGCGCGTCGTAAGGTTACGACACGCGAATGCGTGACGTCTTCCTTTATGACAGGGCCTTCCTTGATACGCATTGCGTGTCATAAACGAGTGTCATAATTGCGTGTCATAAATGTGCATCGTAAATGCGCGTCGTCTAGAGACGACGTGCAAAAGCGCGTCATCTGTCGTTACGACACGGCCTTCCTTGACGCGCATTTGCGCGTGGTCTGAGCGTTTTACGACGCGCAATGAGCGTCGTAAAAGGCCTTTTTTCTAGTAGTGAAGATACACAATGTACTCACAAATTTATAGTTTTTCTTCTATCAACCAACAAGTATGACACCCAATGATCAGTTTGTTGTTGATTTTTGTAAAACTTTTCAATTTACAATCAATTATACATTGGTCAATCTGATAATGGTTGATCATACATACATATATTAGATCACACTTATATAGAGAGACCAGATAACACACAAACTCCAATATTGGATTTGGGCCAATATACTAAAATTTGATTGAGATTTTGAAGTACAATGCTAACGCTATAATAGGAAGAAACAAAAAGCATGGTGCCAAAACATATAAACAAACAAATATACATTGATATATCTTGTAATTAACCCTTTTTATTTTTTAAAAACAAAAGTAAAATGTCAAAATATACAAACCAACGAAATCACAATGCTACAATTGGTACTTCCTCAACTAAATGTACCATATCTTCAATATAATGCTTGAAAATCATACTTTTTCCCAACTAAAAATCAAGGGATTCTAAAACAAACCTTTACCTATATGGTTTTACAATTTTACCATCAACTCAGTTGTTCCTTATGAACTAGTTCATGCCACCATTCGTTCCACACTCCTCAAAACTCATACGTGCATACAAAAACATAAACTAATATCAATTTCAGTAAACTTTTAGTGATATGTCTCATGGAAATGTGCAAATAAATTATTGTACATAGAATATTTAAAAAGAACAAAATTACCACACCACCGATATTCAAAACTGGAACTTTTACAGACCAAAAAGTGTAAATGAGATGTGGGGTCGGGTCAATGTAGCAATAGGCTAAGAACAGAGCTAGGTTGGTAGATCCAGAAGGATCAAATACCCTTATATTGCCAGTTGTCGAGGTCTTTTCCTATCATCAACAATACATGTAATAATAGATGCTTTAGACACACATATGGAAATTTGGGAAGTATGTTGATTAATTTTAGCAATAAAAAAGGAAAGAATAATGCATGGTTAGTTGTGATGTAACATCCGGATTTTCAGGTATGATAAAATGAGTATTTATTTTCGAAGTTATGAGGAGTAACTCGACGAGCTGGCACCTTAACTTGTCGAGTAGGATTGCGGCTTGGTGAGGTGGAAAATGAATGAACTCAATGAGTCGGCAAGCTGAATCACCGAGTCAGTGCTGTTAACAGAAACCCTAATGCTCTCGGGCCTGGGCCTATTTAAAGGCACTTATAGCCTCCTTGGCCCCTTCCCATCAATGTCTTCGTCCCTTGAGAGAAACCCTAGAGCTATTGGTGAGCTTAAAAGGAGAGAAAAGCTAATTGGAGGTCATTTCTTTAAGAAGAAGGTCAAGGGTGTTACAAGGATCTTAGAGGAGGGTTGGTGGATCAGTTTCATCCTCATTTCAAGCTTAAGATCTGGTACAAGCTCTTGTCTCCCTTATGTTTGAGTAGATTTCCTTTGGTGGTTAAGTTAGGGCTTGTATCACTTTATTGATGGGTTTTTGGGTGCATCCAAATCCTTTTTCGAGTTATTTTGTAGATCTGGACTTTGTAAGGTCCAAAGAACCTGAAAGTAGGCGGCCATGAAGGAGTAATCTTGGAGCTTTGAAGCTATGAAGCTTCAAGGGAGTCATAATGATGTATAGAGCAAAACACACCATGCATGAGCCTCAAGTTCAGAACTTTACATGACTTTTGGGTGCTAGAAGGCCAGATCTATAAGTTAGAGAAATAGAATTGACCTCAGAAGGTCGAATGAGTGTTTCCATGGAGGAAACTCGTAGCGTCCATAAGGGAACTCGATGGGTCGGATCGGGTTGCCACGTGATTCATGACCAATGGTAACCCGTCGAGTGGAAGGTACACATGACGAGTATAGTGAGGCTTTTAGAAGGATCCATAGGACACGTTTGGACTCGCCGAGTCACCCATGTGCACTCGACGAGTCTGGTCAAAGTTTGACCATTGACTAGAGTTGACTTCAGTTGACCTTGGGGTTTTGGTCAAGCTGATTCAAGAGAGGTCAAAGAGGGGTAGAATGGTCTTCTACCCATTATTAGAGATGAGTACATGAGAGGATTTTGATTAGAGATGTTATCTTGTTGATAGGAGGAGGCTAGGTCGTGCTATCCAAGCACGAGAGTTTATCTAACTTCATACAAGGTGAGTCTTCTCACTATACTTTACCTAGAGTGGTAATTATGTGTGACTGGAAAGTCGTATATGCTATGCGGAGTATGTGATATATGTTGCTATGTGATATGTATGTGTTATGATATGTTATGAATATCATTGTACGGACCAGAAGGTCAACAATGTATGGACCGGAAGGTCAAGATGATGAGGACCGGAAGGTCATACGGGTAGGTTCGGAAGGTCTACCAGGGTTGGGACGAAAGTCCCCTGAGACATATGGATCAGAATGTCCCATAGAGTTATGGCCTTGAGTGGCATATGTGTTGTACATGGTATTTTGGGGAACTCACTAAGCATTTATGCTTACCGTGTTATGTGATATGTGTTTTAGGTACTAGCGAGGATCGCGGGAAGGCGCCGACATGATCTGTACACACTGATGAAGATTTATGTACTTGAGATTCTGGGATTGTTTATTGAGATAATATGTGATACAATCGGTTTTGAAATTGTTCTTATCAAATTTATTATGATTAAAAATGAAAATTTGTTTCGGAAATTCACGTTGTTACTGATGGGTTTTGGTCATAAGACATCCTAGGTGCTCATACAAACCCTAATGCTTGGATCTAGGTTTCTCTATTGTACATGCTTTGAATCCAAGACTATAAACCCTAATTCTAGCATTCAAGTAATCATATTAATATGTAATTAGGTTTAAGATCATACCTTGATTGTTATGTAGCAATAACAATCCTAATTCCTCCTTGAATTGACTTTGGAATGCTTAGAGTCACAAGTGTCACTCCTCTAATGGCTTACAAACACCAAGAGCAAATGGAGAAGGTATAAAGAGAGAGGAGAGAGGTTAGAATTCGTCCTTAGGACTTCTTGGGAACAAGTACACGAATTCTAAGGCCTTAGGGTCTTTATATAGGTGTAGAGATAGGGTTTCAGTCATTATCCTTATCTAGTTGCTTATCCACAAAGCAACCATAAGATAAGCCTTGAAAACCCTTATCCTTTATCCTTTGGACGATTCCACAGATCCTTATCTCCTTGAATTCGTTCAACCCATATTTAGGATAACCATTACCATATTTTGTAACTATCACATAATTACAATTCAGCCCCTCTAGTTTAATTAATTACACTTGATCACAAAATTAATTCCTAATTAATTATTGACCAATATTAATTAAGCAAATATGATTTCTCCTTTAATATATTATTCTTATAACATATTAATAAATCATAATAACCTCTCTCTCTCTCTCTTTATTTATTTCTCCAATCAAGTTGTTTTGGTGAAGGCAACCCAAAAGGACCATGAACCATCGGGTCAAGTACATACCAAAATAGTTATGGACTTAGACACTAATCCAACAGTCTCCCACTTGGATA